TGATATAGAAGTCTCGTTAAGCTCGATATTATCGGGGGCTTTGAATACTAATTCTGTATGCCGCATTCGCTCGCGGATAAACGAAACGTTTGTTCTCCCGCGCGATGTTATTCGCGAGTATTACCGACGGTAAGATATGACGGCGGCGATCGTGTCCCACTTTTTTGTTCACGATATCAAAGATTAATGGAGAAAAGAGACGAGAAGCGTGCCGAATCTGTGATTAATTGACCGTTGTTTCGTTATACCGCTTACGTGTTCGGGAAACCATGTTTGTCCTTATTTTTTTGCCGCAGTTAATTGAGATTAGTGACGATATTCAAAAAGGCGCGATACCGAGGAGATTTATAATCGTATTATGTTTTTTTCAACGCCAGTTACGCGGCGATTCGATTTTTTGCCGTATTTTATTCTCTCAGCGCGAGAAGCGTATTACAATATTAAAATTGCTGTAAGATTTAAATTTAAAATTCATTAAATATCATTACGTATACTAACAACTTGAATAAATAATATACGAAGAATAATTGTCTGCGCGCAATTGTGCGAGCGTCGAATAATTTTGTCCCCGTAAATGGGACGAATTTCACACTGCGCATCCCACCAAAAACACACGAAGGTGCAAACGGTGCATCACGGTGTGTCTCGGGCTGCTCGGACACTGACAAATCCCCGAGCATGGACCATTATTTGAATCGTTACATGCTAACTGCGCGATGTCCAACGTTAAAAGCATTAAGGGATGAAACGTACGACGAAGACGACCGAGGGTATCGAGCAACGGCAGGGGCAAGGGTGGCCAGAGGGGAAGGACGACGGAGACGAGACCGGACGAATGGATTGCGAGGGTGTGTTGCTGGAACTTTGCTTTCTGACTCTTCGAAGCGGCGCGCGCGTCCACCAGGTGGGTTCATCAGCCGTAGCCTGTGGCGAATGTGAGGTTCGCTTCCATCTCGCTCTTCGTCCCTTCGTTCGTATTTTACCCCCCTATGCGGAAGATCAGGAGGAAGAGGAGGAGGAGGTGGACCATCAATGTCCCCGCGTCGTGCCGCAAAAGCTGGCTAACCCACCCGCGACAAGGTCGACCTTTACCCGTTTGACCAGAGAGAGGCCAGATCCGCTTACGCCGGTACGAATTTGAGATTCCGTAAATCCACCAAAACTTCGACCTACGTCGTGCTGGCTTTCCACTTATCTGCTGGCCGGTGCGGGAGAGAAAGAGAGAAAGAGAGAGAATGAGAGAGAAAGGGATGCGGGATCCGCGGGATAGAGGTGGCCAGACTATACCGTTTCCGGTACGATGAGCAGAAATGCCTGGCGTAATGCGAAAGGGAATCCGTGTAGATGCTACTTGCCACAGTACAAATACACGGAGGAACGTGTGCACGCGCACACGTGTATGTACACACGCGCATGAACCAGCGTCCGCGTCTGACGAAATGTTTGAGAGATATCAAAACCGCACGTCCGTGAGGCCGAAGCGGCCCTGAACCGGCAACCCAGATATGACGGCTGCATGGCACTTCTGTAATTAATTGCCACGTGGACTCGACGCTGTGCAGCTGACCTATGCAAAAGTGATATCTACTTTTCTCGACGAGATATAATCTGGACAAAAAAAATTGTATCATTATCGCTCAAGCGTTGCTCCCCGGTCTTACGATAAACAGATGATAAAATAGGATTTCGATCCATCTATCTCTTTCGTAGAAATAAAGCCGTGACAGCCGCGCGATACGATAAATCGCTATCTCCGCGTTAAATCCCAAAAATAATCGCAGATACACTCCGTACGCTATTATTTTCAAGCTCCATTGAACAAACCACAAAGCGAGATAATTTTCAGATAATTATCGTCTCAACTTGGTCCCTGTGATTGCTATTACCCGATAAATCTTTATTTATCGACCGCAAAACTCGTTGGCTAAAATTATACCTTCGAAATATTAGTCATTAAGATTAAATCTGCCATCGAGTCGGAATGTAACATCTTTCTTGCTGCATCGCGCACTTGCGCGAATCAGGCATTATCCAAAATTACTTCAGACTTCTACTTTTATTCGAATAACGCTGAAAATATCCAAATAGTTGACATAATTTTAACGATCCTGGAGAATCAACATAAGACTCTTATCGTAACGTATCTACTTAAAGTAGATACTTTTGGCCTTCTTTCGATTTTCGCTCCGAGATTGGTAATTAATGACACACCGACGATCCGTTCGATCAAAAAGCGAACGGACTCAATCCAATGAGTTAAATAAAGATGCAGCTGATATGTCAGAGTCGGCGATAACGTCAGTTTAAAATACCACGTGGAAGAGCGGTGGAGAGACTGACAAGTCAGACGAGTTCCACCGGCGATCTAATTGCCGACGAAAATGATGGAAGCGGAGCTGGCGCGGGCGAACGGGCGGAGATATGAAGGGAGGAGAGACTGCACACTATCTCGTTCTCTTCGCCTTTGCGAGCGTGCCCCGTGTACACTTGATTCAACAAAGCAAATCAGACTTCGACACGCGAAGTCGGTATGAGGGATCACGCGAGGTCGCCTTACTCCCCCGCACCTCTCTTACAGGCCAATCTTTTCTGGCTGGCTTCTTAGCCTTGCCTATGCTCCCCCGTAGAATTAGTGTCAAGCTAATTTCGTGGCTGAATTTAGAAGTTTCCTTTGATCGTGTGTCTCGATGCTACTAACCACCTCTCCTCCCCCCTCCCCAATGATCACCCCCGAGACCGTCCCCCTTGATTCGGCGGCGCGCCACGCCGCACCCGCTTCCATGGAAAAAGCAATTGCTCCGTATTACATGGTGCATTACGAAAGTTCCCGCGGAGTAATTTTTTTCGCGTTTCTCTCTCTCTCTCTCTCTCTCTTTTTATTTTTACACACAGGGAGAAGCATGCAATCGCGTAGAGCGTTATATAACGTTCATACCAATTTAACCGTGTAACCGGACCGATCGGGAATCTATGTAACGAACGGGATCACGAATGCGGATTTACGAGCATTCAACGAGTGGGAACGGCAAAGTATGTTATTCGTTTGTTGCATCGGTCGCTATTATGCGCACCTACACTACACGCGCGATTTCGCCCTAGCGAAATAATTGGCAAGAATACGTCCACGCGCGGTTCAAATCCGTTGTATTGTACGCATATTAAGTGCTTAAATAAATAATCTTTGTTGATCGCAGGTCTCCGCGCGAATCAAAATTTGCATTTACAAATCAGTATTTTGCGACGTGGTAATTTTATTGAAAAGAAAATGTTTAAATAAAACTGGCGGTCACTATTGTCTGAAAAAGTATCAAGTTTATTCATCAGATTACATGTTAGCGCTGTTATAACTTTTATTGATTTTCTGTTACAATAAAATTATAATTATTTAATTAACCAAATGTCTGCATTAATAATAATTAATTATGTGATTAAAATAATCGCAATTTATATTAATTTGTTTAACCATTTAAATATATTCAAACACATTTTATTCATCGAAATACCAGTGCAGCAAAGCAGTATTTCTCTCGTTGCACGGTATTTTTCGTTATGAAAGCATTCTTCTTGTTCTAATTGTAAAATCATTAAATTAATGTTGGAGTGGTTAATGTTGAACTAGGATTAACAAGAATCCGGTTTCATTCGAGCGTAGACTGAATGTAACTACTGAAGAACCGACGCGATGCAACAACACCGATACACTACGTAACTTTTAAACGCTGCTGGGCATGTGTCAAACTAGGTTTGCACGCCGCCTGGAATTAGCATTTTGACGACCCTTTTAAGAGTCTAAAACGTGATCGAACTGGGACCTATAAGCTTTGAGAAGCGAAAAAATAACTGTGTTGTTGAACGTGTCTTTTTTTTTACATATAAAGAACGAACGCAAATGTAACAAAAATATGTGTAATGCAAATATATACAGTTTAAAAAAATATATCTCTAATAACATAAAATATTATTTTTCGTTGAAACATATAACAATGTCGCGTTGATGTGAAATCTTTGAGAATAGATTATTTGAACATATTTGTCATTTAGAAAGCACACATTCCGTTTATAAATTATTCTTCATTTTTTTTCAATTTTAGTGGAGCTTTCATATTTCTAGATGATAGAGATTTATGATGAGTATTATATCTATCAACTTAAAAACTGAATGACATTACGATTCTTTCTTTTAACTAAATAAATTCTGGAATAAAATCTGAGAAAAATTAATTCTGATTTTTATTGTTTATCATAACTGTGACAATGAGACGATTTTTATTATGATTTAAAGTAGACATAAACCAAAAATGCACATTTTACCAATTGGTGATAACTTGCAAATCTGTTAAATAATTTCTGATGATAACTTACAAATTGTGTAAGAGATTCTGAAAATGAAAGTTAGATGGCGTATGATTTAGATGACCGAAGCATATCTTCGTCTTTATAAGCGCAGGTCGTTGTAGAGATCTTGCAGTTCCATAGTGTTTGCGGAAAAAATTGCGTTTTTTATGTTATTCTTTAGAATAATGTAGAATTCGCATATAAATTAAATTGGTCTCTTCGTGCGTGAATCTATACATTATTGACAGCGTAGGTAAGTCCTTGTCATTTTCGTTGTACTTAAATTCTCATTCAGCTGAATGGCACCGTTATGTCGGCATCGCCCAGATTCGATAGAGTGCAATAGGTTCATTGTACAAAATCTTGCACACTTGAAAATCAATTAATGTTGTCTAAATCAGTATATTCTTACAAATAATTTATGCAATTACGATTAGACCGAGAAAGCGCATTAATGTAACTCTCGTAAATTTAAAGCATCGATTTGGCCAAAGTTGACGTCATTGTCGAGAAATCAATACTGAACTACATTGGATTTATTTGCGTTTTCCTTATCAGTTACAGAATACACCGACATTCTTTCGAGATATACATATTTTACTAAAAAAATAAGTTTTATATGCGCTTACTTTTAAAACATAACGAAAAATTTTATAATTTTTTAGGTATTTAGAATTAGACAAGATGATGTCTGATCGGAAAGCTGAGTTAGAGAGGAAGAAGGCAAAACTGCAGGCTATTAGGGAAGAAAAAGAAAGGCGCAGAAGGGAAAAAGAACAGAAAGATGTAAGAAATAAATAATTTTTTAATAAAATATTGTATTTATTTCATGTATAAAATAATATACCGAATAATTGTAATAACACAACGATTATTTATGGATTACAGGTAGAGGAAGCAACTGTCCGTGCTGCCGGCACGGATAAAGATCAACGCAAGGAGATAGATGCAATGTTGTCCTCCTTGGGTGTAGCACCGGTATCAGGTATAACTAAACATTTGATTGTATTTTGGATTTTTTCCAAGTAATATTTTAACTGCTTTTGCTTGCTTTCAGATGTACTGTCTAGTTTATCTAGCATGAGTTCTTTAACACCTGAACAAAGTGCCAATGCTACACCAGATGCCAGTTTACAACCATCTAGTATAAACTCTGCTCAAAGGTATTCATATTTTGTAAATATTTTATGTATGTTTTTTTAGACCAATATTTTTTATATTTTTGTATTTGTGAAATTAAACAGTGCAGGACGAAGGAAGAATCGGGAGCTCACAATCGTTTCCGTGGCGCATACAAACATTCCTCCGAAGGAACCAGTTGTCTACAGCAAGCAAACGCAAACCATTCAGACAACGCACACATCCCACGACGGTGAGTCAATATTTCTCTTATAAAATAATTAGGTATTTATTTATTTTGCACATATGTGTTACATCTCACTCGTGATCTCGCAGAGAAACATTTAGATATTAGAAAACACGTGTTTTTGGTATTCGACTCTCACAATGTTGGAGATATAAATATTGATGGAATTGAGATATAGTCCATTTTTGGAAATTATTGAAGTTTGATTAATTGGTTCCAAAATGTATATTAAATATTGTTATATCTTGTATGGTATAATTCTTTGCAATTTTGTGATATTTTATGCTAGATAATGTCATTGAATATCAATATTCACTTTAATATAAGTCCACAAATTTATATATAATGCGTTCACAATGCGTGTTTTATGATCACTGAATTATCATCAACCTACACATATTCCATAGTTTTTACGTCAACAAATTTTTATGATTGACTATGGTAAAGTGGGTGGTGTATAAAAGAGATGATACGTTATTATGCATATTTTTAATTGCAACACTGTGTTTACAAATCTGTAACCACATACTAAAGATTTTAACATTTTTTTTTTGTGCATTAACTATAAATGAAACAATTTTAATATCATTAATCAAATGCAAAGTTCTTTTGTATTTTTTTTTTTGAGTGACGATAACATTAAGATTGAGTTAACCTTCTAAATTGTTTCCTATATGATTAATTTTAAAGGCTAGTGAGGAAACTTACATATTCTTAAAACATGGTTATAACAACTATTATGAGTGCAATTACTATTTTGTATTTTTTCCTCATATTATCTATGGGGGATTAATATTTTTCAACACTTACTTGATTTTCTATATTTTGTTATTCAAACAATACTCTGTTGTATTAAAATATAACATATTGAGTATTGTCCAATGCTTTGAGTGTTACTAAAAAAATTTTGTACTTTTTGTCAAAATTATCTACAAAAAAAAATGCTTATACGGTGATAGATATTATTAAGTAATCTATTTACTATAGTGTTAATTAGAGCATATATTTAAATACGTTAATAATATTTAGACAGATAGTAAAATGAACAATATAATATTATATTGTAATTACTATGATTATTTAAAAAAAATAGATAACAGTATTTTTTATTGTGAGCCTTAGATTATATGTGTAACGAATGTATTAATTAATACATATAACAGGTAGTACGCGTCTCTAACAATCAGTCTGGGTTTGGTTTAAGTTATATTTCTTTTGGTGGTGGCAATGTTCCTTCATACACTCTTTTCATTTCCACACGACACACAACCGCAAATTCAGTTAGTTTTTGATCACTTACGTTATATATGTTTCACAATTAATCTCAGTCTAACAATGCAAAAATGACTAAACAATTTATGTTAATGATTAACATATAATTTTTCACATATTTTATCCTTATACCACCTACTTTACTGCGATGATAAATAATACAACTTTAATTCCAACAAAACAACTTAAATTCTGACAGAGAAATGTTCTTCATAAAATTTTATACAGTTTATTCAATTATCTTGAAGACATATCACTACAGGGATTCTATGCTGCATATATATAAAGGAAAAGTTCTCTATATATCTGTTACCTAACTGATCTTGCGGTGTTAATTAAACATACGCGTGTTCCCTTGTCTTGCGATACAATCTGATCGATTCATCCGGTGTTGGACACAAGGACTGTCCACATCGTCCTCTGCATACACCATCTACTCCTCCTGTTCAACAACAACACCAACTCACTCTTGCTCCGCAGGCTACTTTGAGACTGACTGGTGGCGTCCCAGGAAAGGTGGGTCTGCACCAAACTACCTATGTATGTTCTGTCTACTTTTTTACTACCCTTCCGTAATTGTTGTACGACATTATAGAGGTAGAGATACATTGAAGTTTCGCGTTTCAAGTGAAGGGATGTAGAGTCTAGTCTTTGGGGTGCTTTGCGCTTTTCCTAAACATTGCTCCGCAGATTTTTATGACTGCGCTGTGATTTTTCGTTCTTCTTCATATATTTGAAGCTATGTGAAGGCAACGAGGAGTCATGAAAACATACATATGAGTTGCTATGTGATAATCAATTTTACATTTTAACTACACCGCAAATTTTGTATGTGGAAATTATAATTACATATTTGAAATATAATTTGATTTTACATGAGAAGGAACAAGTATATCGCCACATTTCCACATACAGATGCTTAAGAGGCTTACTTACGCTTTTAACGAAATAATTAACTGACATAAAGTTAAGATTACACAGCACATTAACTCTAGGCGTCCTGTTTGTTGGGAAAATCTACGAATTATGTGATTACAAAGTAAAACTTGTATAGAATTATATTATAACCTTTACGTACTGGTAGAGAATTGATATTTGTACTTAACTGATGATTTGTACCAATATTTCTCCAGTACATTTCTAAATATAGAAAGCTATAATGACAAGGGGGCTCAATGACAAGTTTAAGATGTAAAAAATTTGTTATGGTATTTCTTAATGTGCGTACAGAACTATTAATATCTAAAGTAAGTTTATATTCTAACATCAGTATATTGCTTCTAAAGATTATCTGCTTTTTATCGACAATCACTTCATATTAACAAGGAAAATAATAGCAAAATCAAGTTTAGAAAGAGAGTGGAGAGAGACTTAGGGTGGGCATAAGTGTGACAAGGGATGTAAGTGAGATATTGCAGCTCATTTATTAAACAGCTTCTGTTAATTACAGATAGCGAGAAACTGAAGTTTTTCGCCATTGATCGATAATTAATGGATATTATGATCGCTATAGTAAACGAAAGTGTTGAATATGGAAGATAAGCATTAATTACCCTAAAAATGATAAACATTCTGAATATGTACGTTTCCTCTTATACATAGAACCGAGGCACGACACAATATAAGAGAATCTACAAAATTTATATCCACCTAACTACATTCAGCGTAAATCATTTTTGTTGTAAGATACAAAATATTTTTCAATGATATTTATGAAATTCTACGGTTTTATTTGTAGTTATTTGCTTTCCTGAAAATTTTTACAAGCGATGCAGCATTTAAAAATTTATTGTCTATATAGGATATATACAATATTAATAATATTCGAATATTTATTACCAACATGTTACGGTCGTAAAATTTTCTATCATATTTTTGCAAGTTTTGAATTTTGCTATCGATCTTTTCGTTTGAAACTAATGGTCTGAGTGTAGAGAGGTGTTATTAGTGTAGTACATTCTTATAATATCGTAACTAAGTACAATTTTTTTCCCTCCCCTTCTCAGCTCATGCATTCGACTATTACGGTAAGTTATGATTTCTCTTGGTTCTGAAAGCGATTTTTAGGTTCAGAGTTAGGTTTAGCGTGAATTCAGTTCATTGCTTTAAGACAATATTCTAAAGAAAGAGTACTATGTGAATGACAGGATAATTCTTGACAATAGAGTAACGCGTATTTAATTAGATTAAACTCTACATGCTATTCCAAATTATTCTCACCAAAACGCGCATATTAAGGTAAGAAAAAATGTTATTGGATTTTAAATTTGTTCGTCAAACATTTATATAATAGTGTGTATTGTTAATAGTTTATCAGTGCTTTCATTACGTGAACCTGGTTGATATTCGCAACATATTAGATAGAGCATTTTTCTTCTTCATTCAAAATAGATATAGCCAAATTTAGAAAACGGATAAAATATCATCCCTCAAATTTAGCGTTTTTCATAGAAAATATTAGTAATGCAGAAATGCAAAAAAACTCTCCACCCAGAACCTAATCGGTCTTTGCTATCTTATGGATTGCTTTTATTTCTTTTGCCTTTCTTCTCTCGTTATGTTTATCTATTTTTGGGTGCATTTGTTCTTATTTATTGTATCTGTTATTTTCTAAATATTTATCTGACATCCCGACTCTGTACGAAAAGATCTGCTCTATCGGGCACACGACACAAATCTATCCGCATATACTTTCGGAAAGCATGTACAAGTTTTGAAGACTGTTATTTCGGCGGCCCTGGCTCTTTAAACACGATTTTCCGCAATATTTTCGAGCTGTCTCTTACAATATATGGCTAATTTTGTATATTAGGTGATTTACCGAAATTATGTTAGCCTCTTGGTATCAATATTATCAAAGAAATATATAAGGGTAATGCAAAATAAATTAGAAGATGAGAAAAGTTACATTATAAAATTCTGCCAACTATTTAGCGTAAAGGTGTTCTTGATAATATCTCAAATAGCATCAAGGATGTCAAATGTTCTTTGAGAAAAATATCCATTGGCAAATCTTGTCACAACTTAACGCACCTTCCAGAGTTCTCGTCACGGTCATTACTGAAATCTCTTTGGGAATGCTAACATATTGTCAAAGCTTACTAACATGGAATTTTTATAGAGCTAAGGTGTTGTGGGATATTAACTAAACTCAAGTTGGAAATAACATCACACACGTTATTCTCGTTATATTGACTTTATGTTTAATAAACCACCTACGTGATAAGATTAGAATCCTAATATTTTCGTACAAGTGTTGCTTGAGCTTTTAGTGGCGCAGGAACTTCTTTGTAAAATGTTTCTTGATCGCAGAATATTGCTTCTTAACAGCACGAGAGTGACGTAGCAACAAATTAATAAATTAACAAGTAATTGAAAATATATATGAACTCGTCGCGACATAGCTGTACAGCATTCTCAAAAAAATATAATTATCGCGTATTCCTATTTTTATTATAATAAATATTGACAGACTTACTTTTGCTGCCAATTAAATTTTAGAAAGTAAATACTTGAAATATTTGAGTAGTTTGAATATCGAAAAGAGAGAGAGAGAATATATATTTTTCATTAATAGTCGGAGATGTCAGTATATTGTATTAAATTATTTCAATTTCATGATCCCTTACTTGTCTTCATTTTCGTTGTTATAGAAGCTTCCTTCTGAGATTTACTAATACTGAGTTTTTGCGCCAGATTTATTTTCCGAAAAATATCCTACCTCGTCATGTTCTATATCAATTATCGTACGCGAAAAAGAAAATAAATAGTTAAAAATTGTGTATATTAAAAATACCTGGAGGGATCAAGAACGAAAATTTCTATGAATTTTTTGCTGCGCAATTTAAACTGAAGAATTTATATAAAGTTTATAAATATTAAAAATTAAAAAATAGCAATTGGTCCCTTTAGAGTGTGCAACATTAATTTTGGAACATACTCTATGAAACATACAGAGCTATTGCTAGTGGGAATATTGTACGCATGTAAATAGATAAATAGCAATTATGATTTATCAATTTCAATTGCTAGCTCTTCAAGTTCTTCAATTTTTAAAATAATTGTTGATGTATTTTGCATGGCAAAACAAGAGAAGTCAATTGAATCTTTTATTGCAATACATTATTTTTCTCCAGGATTGTGCAATAGAAATTTCGGTGAAATTGTTTAAATTAATGTATAAAATAAAAGACTCGAATATAACTTTTAGCTTTTGTACATGTACATTATGCATCAATAATGTCCGTTAAAAATATTTTTTTTTTAATTACGATTCCGGCAAATAGGATATCAAATTGATTGACATTTTCTTTTCCCTCCTTCAAGACGAGTACAATCTAAATCCTGGTTTAGAATGGGAGGACGAATTTACAGGTAGGTAATCCTCTCTAGAGACGATTCACACTACGTAATACTTTCACGGACATATGTAATCTACTTCACGCATAATTCTACTTCACACTCTCACCAAGTTGCGTCTGAAAGTAATTTTCATTTAACTTTCTGATTGTAATTTATCGTCTTTGCCTCACATGCACTGAAAGGAGGGTATTGCTACTGGCGTTTATAAATTGCTTGATGAGTTGCTTTATTTTACATTCTTTTTTTCTTTGTGCAATTCAAGATGAATCCGCTTTATTGTATATCGCGCATGCAGAAATTGAATCACTCATAGCGTTTTGTCGTTATTTTTTAATGTGGCGAATTATACCATAAGCTACGAGATTGATGATTGATTTTACGATACTTAACATTTGGCACTTTAATTAATATTTTATTACAGATTTATTAATTTGAGAATGAAAATGATAGAGTAGTAAATTTTTTATTTTATTCGTTGGAACTGTCATAATTATAAACTTAATCGGTCCTGCATGAGATCTGGAAAGTTGCGTTAAATCCACTCAGTATGCACACACACACTCGTTTTTTTCTATTTTTTTTTCTTTAATGAAAAACCATAATCATGTAATAGTATTGTAGGTATGTAAATCATGTAGGTATTGCAAATCTATTTCTGTCCGACTTCTTTCTTCATTAATATTCGCAAATTTCATTTATTATTGATTATTACATTTACACAATATTATTAATACTAAGAAATGATGAAATCTATTTTCACATAATTGTCTCGTATATTGCTCCACTTAATTGACATTGCATGCCAACAAAGGGTGGAGAGACACCATCGATAAAATAAGATGAAGCCAGTATAAAAATATCAATGTTAGTTTTTGACATTAAACCACCAACAAGCAGTCCACCTTTCGTATATGTGTCTAATTTTGCATGTCATCTAGGCTCACACTCATTATTTTATTTTCGTACATAAAATTCACTTTTTTTTTAGCATGATACGTTATTCAGTATGGCATTTATCAATACTTCTAGATGTTGTTCCTTCAAAAGTAAATTTTGTGAAATATTTGTCAGCTAGTTGTGCAATTTATATTAGAAAATATATTATTTGGTTGCAAAAATACTGAACATAAATTAATTTTTTTTAAACTGGCATGTAAATTTTAACACTTGACATGTAAAAACAAAAACAAAGAAAATGTTTGCAGAAGTATATGTTAGGGTTTTAGCAGAGTGCGCAGTGTTGTTTTTCTCTTCTGGATGTGTAAAGTGATAGATTCATGCGTTACGGATATTCTTGAAAACATTTTAATATTTGTTACAAAATAAGTCCTATTTTTCTTTCTTTTTTTTTACAAAAACACGATATCGCAAATAAATTTGCAAACTAAATAGGTAGATCAGTAGTTAGATAGTGTTACATCCAAGTTAGGGTACTTGTTGCGGAACCAGCTTATTCACCACAGTTTTGACATTTGATGATGGCCAAGCCGAAGACGAGGAAAACAGCTTGCCGCACATGGACGGTTTCCAGAGTAAGCTTCCACCAGGAATTCTTCCTCATGGATTGCCGCAGGTTAAAGAAGTCCAGCCTGCTGTTACACAGGTAGAGCAAGAGAAACAGAAAGAAAAACCGAAGAAGGAAGGTGTGTAATTTATCTTCTGCATCCATTAATTTTATTTAACGAATAAAAATATTAATATTTTTTTATCCTTAAAGTACGAGAGCTTAGCGAAGAGGAGAAGCAAATGATTATCTTATCGGAGGACTTTCAACGATTTCTCGATCGTACTAGCAGGATTGTGGAGAGAGCATTGGGTGAATCTGTCGATATCTATACCGATTACACCGGCACAATGGACGGTGAAGATGGAATGTAAGTGTAAAACGGCAATTGGAAAATTTTTCATCCATTTTTTTTGGTTATAAGATAATAATGTTGCTTTGCAATAAGTATATTTTGGTCAGTGCAAATAATTATTTAAAATTAATTATAAACGATGCGTTTGCAGGGACGAGAAGAGTCACCAACGACTCTGGCTAAATCGTTCGTTCATCTGCGAACGATGGTCCCGTAATCGTTGTGTGACTTCCATGGACTGGTCGCCGCAATTCCCCGAGCTTTTAGCAGCTTCGTATAATAACAATGATGACACACCGAACGATCCCGATGGAGTCTGTCTAATCTGGAACACGAAATTCAAGAAAACAACCCCGGAGTTTATCTTCCATTGTCAGTCACCCGTTATGTCTACCACGTTTGCCAGATTCCATCCGAATTTGATCCTGGGCGGCACTTACTCCGGCCAGATTGTACTTTGGGACAACCGAGTACAGAAGAGAACTCCAATTCAACGCACTCCATTGTCCGCTACCGCGCACACTGTAAGTAATTTGCCAGAGGCAACTAACTCTCGTCCATTAGACGGTTAAAAAAGTTTATTACCAATTCTAGCATCCGGTATACTGTTTGAGCGTCGTTGGAACGCAAAACGCGCACAATTTGATCAGTATTTCGACCGATGGCAAATTGTGCTCATGGAGTCTAGACATGTTGTCACAACCACAAGAGGCATTGGAATTACACACGAAGCAGTCGAAGGCGATTGCCGCCACGTGCTTGGCCTTTCCGCACGGTGACGTTAACAATTTCGTAATGGGAAGCGAGGACGGGACCGTTTATTCAGGTATGCGGCAGTTTGTATAGTATATTTATATATTTTACGTATATAATGATATCATACATCAGAAATCAATAATCAATAACTTTGACATATTATTGAATAGCCTGTCGACACGGTAGCCGCGCCGGATTGACGGAAACGTACGAAGGTCATCAAGGACCAGTCACTGGCATTAGCGCACACGCGGTGCAGGGTGGAATAGATTTCTCCCATCTGTTCCTAACATCCTCCCTCGACTGGACCATCAAACTCTGGAGTTTGAAAGAAAACAAGCCGCTATACTCTTTCGAACACAATGGTGACTATGTCTACGACGTCGCCTGGTCACCGACGCATCCGGCATTATTCGCTTCCGTTGACGATTCGGGCAGACTAGATCTGTGGAATCTGAACCAAGATACAGAGGTACCTACCGCCAGCGTCGTGGTCGACGGGTGTCCAGCTCTGAACAGAGTGTCTTGGACGCCGAGCGGATTGCATGTTACCGTCGGTGACGATACTGGTAAAATATGGGTCTATGATGTCGCAGAGGTTTGTATGATTATTTCCATTTTTTATTCTTTATATTTTTTTTTATATATGACTTTAATAGAAGAATGTGATGTAATTGATTTTTTTTTATAATATAGCATTTAGCTCATCCAAGACTCGACGAATGGAACAAGTTCTTGTACACGCAACAGGATCTGAAGAACAACAAGGCGGATGAAGAACTGGATAAACTTAATCTTAGTTCCGGCCCGTCTTCTTTAACCTCTATGACATCCATTTCTTCAGTTCCTCTGAGATAAAAATTTATCACTTAAATAACTTTCTGTTCTAAGATAGTTAATCGCTCTAAATACTTTTTCTTTGATATTGGTCAAACTGATAATACTTGCAATCATATAAAATAATAAAAAAAGAAAAAAAAGTTTTAGTTAATGCTTCGATGATTTTCTAGACGTAAAAATTGAACAACTAGTCGCCAATTTTCTACCCTTTGATGTTAATGAAAGTTGGCTAAATTGAAACAAGTCTTAACACTAAAAATATATCTATTATGTGTTAAAGATATTAATAAAAATTCTAATAGATATATATTTTTAACTAATATGATAAGAAATATTAGTTAAATAAATATATACTATTGGAGTTGTAAATATATAATACTTTAATTTTATTTTAAAAGGTTTTTATATATGTTTAAAAAATCGTATATATGTATATGTGTATTCCACAACAATTTATTGATATCATTAGAATCTATAATAATATACTATGGCTGCGTTCCGAAATTCACTGCCAGTATTGGAAATCTATAGTTTACGTCACGTATATTGTAGATTTTCAATGCTGGCAGTGAATTTTGAAACGAAGCCCATGTAATGCCAAATTTAGAAAACTGAAGTCATGGAAAAAAAAATGATAAAAGCAATTATTGTTTAAATTACGATACATATTTGTTATAATATATATTCCTTATTTTATGTGTTAATATATTTATATGATCAACGTAAATAATTTGCTCACACATAATTTGTTTCATTCGTTCATTTTTTACAGTAATCGTCGCTATTTTAAGAGGCATATTTATTAAGTATTTTTGTAATATTTTATTTAAATTAATGTATCATTTATTGTAAAATACTGCAAATAAAATCTTTTTAAGCATACATTTATAATGTTACATTTATATAAAAGGTGATGATGTCACTTCTGCGACCTATGACGCATCAGCAGCGATAACACAAGAGATTCAGTGTCATTTATATAAGAATGATGAAAGCAATCTTTACGAGAGGCAACACCTCATCGATTAGTAATCAAAAATTCTCTAATCATTATTTATATACATTTTTCTTGTTTTTCTTTCATCAATGACCCACATTTTTACATTGTATTAGATCAGAGAAAATAGGGTGGGGTAGGACCAACAAACTACTCGATAGACGAGAGGAGAAAGGGATAAGGAGGGATGATGCATCGACTGCTGGCTTGGTAATACTTGGTAAGCGTCAGAGCGTCAGCGCCGATCCGTGCGTGGTGGAAGTCGTAAAAATAGTATTCAGTGAGGTCAGTGGTAAGCAGTGTCAGTCGGCGACTGTTCGTCGATCATCGTCAATCTAAGGAGGTTAACAGCATCCAAAGCGTTCTAGTTCAGTGCATTTTCCTCTCTCTTCCTGTCACTTTTGTGAAAACACAACAGCAAGCAGTGTATATTCAACAAGCGAAAAGAAATAGCATCGCAAAGATGAGTGAAAAGACTGGTAAGTAACCAAACACGTAGTCTTTTAGTATGCATACTTAAATATGTAGAAGAAACAGATTCGAACAAAAAAATGATTTACAATCAAAATATGACATTTTCATTGGAAAAAATTGCTCGACGCGGTTTTCTTACAAACAGCTGTCGCATATTCGTCATGCTGAGTGTGTTGAATTATTAGAGAATTAGTCATGAAATTTTGACTTCCCGATTTTTTATCTCACCTGATAAGACAAGGATAAGAAACTTTATGGACATTTTCTGTTTACCTCGAACAGAGCACATTGTAATGACCCCAAAATGCAAGACTTCGAATGCTACAACATTGATAATAGAGCGGCAGGCCTTAGAGCCTGCGGCAGAGAATGGAAATGAGAACAATGTTCATGTTGCTGGCGGTGACCACAAAGGAATTGTCATCAACAAACAGGCTATAGCTAGTATATATCTATGTAATCTCAATTAATTGATATTTCACAGGATGCAATAACATAATAATAAATTCTTGCAGTAACAAATGGAGAGGCACGTCCTGCTCAACTTTGTCTACAATTCAGAGTATTCCTGGTGAGCGCACAAACTGGGAAGCATACCCAAGAACAAAGGACTCTTCAATTCTGGTTTACAGATGTGCTCTCTGAAGCGGAACAGCCAAGCATTGCACAAGAATTTTTCAGAGAGCTTGTTACTCCACAGGAGTTTCCTAGAGGTGAATGTAATATGATACGCATTGGTCAATAATACACATGCATTTCTTAGAACTGCTTTTTCATTCGAGATCAAATATATTCAATCTCTAGCCAAAGGACAAAATATTTCTTTGTTTCTCTGTAAACCAAAGTTAAATTTTAAACCATTGGAAGTGAAAATAATAAACTTGAACCAACTTGTATGATGTTTAAAGAAGAACATTATATTTAGCACTTAAGATATATATACTTTTTTTTTCTACAATTTTTTTTTCTGTTGTGTAATTCTGTTATATTAATTATTTTTTGCAGATTATGTGGGATTTATTAAAAAAATAATGAAATTGATGCAACATAAATATCCGAGTATTAAGAAACTGGAAATAGAACTAAGACAATTGGAAGAACCAATTACGCTTCCAACCAGACCATGTAAGTAAATAATTATTTTCTTATTGATCTACTGTATAGATATTTGCATATATGCATATAGTGCATATTTGCATATATATATATATATATATATATATATATATATATATATATATACACTACACCCGAAAAAAAAAGACGGTAACACTGAAAATGTGGGAAAAATTCATCAAATTTCAACTGACGATAACTTCGTAAATAATAAAGATAGAAAGTTCTATAAAATATGGAAATGAAGCTAAAAAATCTCTACTTTAAGAATCAATTTATTTCAATGTTGCAAAATAAATTTATTGAAAATGGCGGATGACAAAGCGCGAGCATGCAAAATTGAAAAATAATGGTTCGAGTTTGCGACGGTGCACGGTATAAACAAAAAATTGTAGCTTATTGGGATCAAAAGCGTACGAAAGTACAGAGTCTCCTCTTTAAAATGCTTTTTTATGCATCT